CCATTTAAAACATTAAACTATGACAGGCCCTGACGAAGTGATCCCATTTAAAACAATAAACTATGACAGGCCCTGACGAAGTGATCCCATTTAAAACATTAAACTATGACAGGCCCTGACGAAGTGATCCCATTTAAAACATTAAACTATGACAGCCCCTGGCGAATTCATCCCATTTAAAACATTTAACTATGGCAGGCCGTGACGAAGTGATCCCATTTATAACATTAAACTATGACATGCCCTGACGAAGTGATCCCATTTAAAACATTTAACTATGGCAGGCCCTGACGAAGTGATCCCATTTAAAACATTAAACTATGACAGCCCCTGGCGAATTCATCCCATTTAAAACATTAAACTATGACAGGCCCTGACGAAGTGATCCCATTTAAAACATTAAACTATCACAGGCCATGACATTAAACGGTAAGTTAAAAATGGTAAATACCTTTTAATTGATTGAACAATGATAGAAGTTTAAAATAGTGTTGTCTATAGTTCTTGTCGGCTCTGTGGCCAAGTCAATGTGAACGATTCGTAATGCCGGGATGTCGGGTTCGATCCCAGCTGCGGGATCCCCATGCGCCTTGCGTTGGTTTCAAAACAGTGGTATCAAAAAAGCCGACCGTCCAGTAGCAATGGCAAACTACTGGACGTAAATTTGCCTAAAAACCACACAACAGCCAGGGGCTGTTAGGGTTGCTTCTGCAACGTCCTGTAAAGGATACGCAACTAACCTATAGTTCTTAGTGGGCGCCATTTGTCTTACAGCTGTGAATGAGTCTCGTTTATTTTATAACTGTTAGTGCTATAGCTGTCGGTCAGTCCTCTTAATGTTACATTTGTGGGTTTTATTAGTGTTTTTTCTGTCAGCCATTTCCCCTTATGTTACATGTGTGGGTTCTGTTAGTATTTTAAATGTCAGCCATTTTCCCTTATGCTATATTTGTGGGTTCTGTTAGTGTTTTAGCTGTCAGCCATTTCCCCTTATGCTATATTTGTGGGTTTTGTTAGTGTTTTAGCTGTCAGCCATTTCCCTTATGCTATTTGTGGGTTCTGTTAGATTTTTAGCTGTCAGCCATTTTCCCTTATGTTACGTTTGTGGGTTCTGTTAATATTTTAGCTGTCAGCCATTTTCCCTTATGCTATATTTGTGGGTTCTGTTAGTGTTTTAGCTGTCAGCCATTTCCCCTTATGTTACGTTTGTGGGTTCTGTTAGTATTTTAGCTGTCAGCCATTTCCCCTTATGTTACATTTGTAGGTTCTGTTAGTGTTTTAGTTGTCAGCCATTTCCCCTTACGTTACATTTGTGGGTTCTGTTAGTATTTTAGCTGTCAGCCATTTTCCCTTATGCTATATTTGTGGGTTCTGTTAGTGTTTTAGCTGTCAGCCATTTCCCCTTATGTTACATTTTGTGGGTTCTGTTAGTATTTTAGCTGTCAGCCATTTCCCCTTATGTTACATTTGTAGGTTCTGTTAGTGTTTTAGCTGTCGGCCAGTCCCCTTTATGTGACATTTGCGGGTTCTGTTAGTGTTTTAGTTGTCGGCCAGTCCCCTTTATGTGACATTTGCGGGTTCTGTTGGTCTCTTAGCTGCCAGTCGGTTCCTCTTTGTGTTATTTGTGGGTTAATTGCGTGTCCTTTACAAGGATGTCCATCAACCTGTTTATCCAGTTCCATACACATGGCTGAGTTGGCATCTGCTGTGAGATAAGCAATGCTCAATTGTATGTTTGATAGCTCTTGTAGTGTCTACAGCTGGAAGCGCTGTTTGGCCATCCTGGGAAGGTAACGATACTATTGTTTATGTTTTCGTACGTGGCCGGTCTGGTCGACCCTGGACGTTTATATCTCTGTTGTGCTAACAGAGACAAACAGTTGTTGGAACCAACAAACACTACATAGCAGCTATATGGTGTTCCCAACGTCTCTTGGTCATGTTCAAGATTATGTTGAACTATTTGTCAGGGGTGCCCGTAGGCTGCTTGCGACTAGAGCCCAAGGAGAGTCGTTGTACTAAACATCACTTGGTTAGTGATGCGGTCAGCATAACGCCGGCTGTCTTTACTTCTCAAGGCTATTACCCGGTACCCACTCAAGGTTGGTTCGAAATGAGAGCCAAGTTCCTTTTTGAAAGAAATCCTGCTATGTCGTCGGCTCTGTGGCTAAATCGATGCGAACGCTTCGTACAGCAGGGATGCCGGGTTCGATCCCAGCTGCAGGCCATGCGCCTTGCGTTGGTTTCGACAGTGGTATCAAGAAAGCCGACCGTCCAGAAGCAATGGCAAACTACTAGACGCAAATTTGTCTTGAAAACCCACACAACAGCCAGGGACAGCTGTAAAGGATACGCAAATAACCTTTTTAAGCCAGCTCTGTCAGAACCCGAACCCTCGAACTTTTGATCATCAGGTAAGCGTCTAGCCGCAACACCACAGTGGCGTTCTGTTGTGTCAAGTAAGCTGTCTAAGCACAATGGTCTGTTTCCTGTGAGGAAGTTGATTAAGTCCCCTGGATTGTGTCCTGAACAGGAAGTGGGTTTTAATGGCTGCCTTCATCTGAGTTTTACACTTCTCGTGGGGCACTCATTATAATTAAACTGGGTCGACCCCAGAGCCACGCTGATCTACAAAATAAACCAAGTCCTGTGTGGGTCCGAGCGCTGACCACCATCCTCAAAGCAATCCCACAATGCCACTGTGGTGTCTGTAACAACAAGAGATACCCGCACAGACAACACGGTAACAACTCAGTGACAAAATTAATGTTTACTTCTTAGTTGTCAACAATGTAGTCAATAAATGTAGGCATTTTACAAGGACAAAGTTAACAAAGTCACCCTTCACATCCATGTAACAACGAGGATGAGTATCTTAAAACGTTAAAAGCTTATAAGATCTTGGTTGAAAAATTAACAAACACTGGAAATTGCTTTACCAGAAATAAGAAAAAAAGACTTTCTCTTGCAATGCAAACGTCAAACACAAAAAAGAGCTAATGGCGAAATATTAGCAAACAAGATCCAATCCTGGGAATGAATTGACAAAAAATAATCAAGAATTGACATAACTGCACTCGGGACATTCCCACACGTGCTCCGTCTCCTTCTTCAGTAACCATCAAAGAGCTGACTTGCTAAAAGAGCCAGTTGCGTCTTCTGCCATTCAGTGTTGAATATCTCCCAGAACCTCTACTCACCAACCCCCCCCCCCCCTTTTTTTACCCCACCGAAACATACTTATTTCCTAGTATAAAACACGGTAAGTAACAGTTCCCCTACAGGGCTGTATTCTGTAGGATGCTTCTACGGTGAGAATCATGATAATTAGGTGCCGTCTCCACAAGGAAGGTTGGCTACAGTATACAACTGCTGTCTCTTGGAACATTACATGGACAGGCCCCATTACACACACTGCGGTAGTACAGGCAGAGGTCGACCACGCAGAATATGGACGGTGGAAATATCAGAGGCACTGGAAAAGGACTATGGACAGAGCGAACAGAAATACCCATTCCAAAGATCTTTTTCTGCCCTTATGCTGCGAGGCATTTCATTAGTAAAGAGAAGAAGAAGAAGAAGAAGAAGAAGAAGAAGAAGAAGAAGAAGAAGAAGAAGAAGAAGAAGAAGAAGAAGAAGAAGAAGAAGAAGAAGAAGAAGAAGAAGAAGAAGAGAAGAAGAAAAAAAAAAGAAGAAGAAAAAGAAGAAGAAGAAGAAGAAGAAGAGGCCCCAATCTCTTCTACAGTGCAGCTCTTGTCCGTTGTCCGAAAACAACGTAAACAGGTCGGTGATCGTGAAATTGTTTAACCGCATTCGCTAGCAGAGCCGCACAATGATGAAAATCAGTCACAAACAATCTCTGAAAGCTCAGTTCAGTCACATAAAATATTTATTTTGGGCCGTTTCGTTGTTTTGGAATCATATTTCTAGCTCTAAATGTTGTGATCATAGGCCATGCACACAGAATAGGTAAGACAAGACTCCCCCATCTAGCCCTCATTTGGACAACGGAAGGGAAAAGAAAACGGCAAAGACCACGAGAGACTTTACATAGAACCATCCTCAGGAAAGGCTCAACCATGGGCCTAACAAACATCCAAGACCTAAAACCGATGGTAACAAACCGCCAAACATGGAGAGCTATGACCTCTGCCATATGCACGCCCTAGGCTGAAGAGAAAAGACTTAACTAACTGACCGTCACGTAGTAGCCTGGAGTCCGTTGCCGACTGGGAATCATCAACATCGGTTCTCAGACCTGGACTATTCCGTAGTCATGAAGAAGAAAATGTGGCTACTGAAAAACTGGACTGAAATGTGATGGACTAAAAAGGCAGAAAATACTCACATTGTTCGCGAACTGAATGCCCAGGGAAGCTGCATTACAACCATTATCGGTTTTTGTTGATGTTTTTTTTTAAAGTTTTTTTTTTTTTTTTTCCTTATTCAAATTAAATACTTTGGCCATATTAAACTTCAAATACGTTCCAAAGACAGAGGAGATGGCGATCTGTTTGGACACATGTTAAAAAGAGATGAACAGATTATCACCAAACAGGCAATGATATTAGAAATAGAAGGACTGGGGAAACGGGGACGTCCAAGAGAAACCCTAAAGCGAACGTCGAGGAAAGAAGCCAAAGGTGCTGGACTAGATTCTATCCATAATATCGGAGTGATTGCACAGAATAGAACGGAATAGAAAAATAGACTGGAAGCTCTATGTGACATATCGTGACACAATCGAACAATGAATGGATGATTAGTTAACGCCGTAATGAGTTAAGGAGAAAGTCCTGAAAAGTGCTGCTTCTGAAAGAAGAGGCAGGAATTAACCAGCGTAACGGTGGACAAAGGATGTCAAAGACACCCTAGTTATTAAAGTTGACAAAACTAGAAAGTCTGCTGGTGGCCGGGTTACCTTCTGCCTGCCTTTGTGACGTGTACGTTCTGCAGATAAGCTGCCACATAATGATGAACCTAAAACAACTTAATAAAAATCAAGAATTATTAAAAGCTTTGTTTATTTGTTCCGCACCTTTTATGTTATTCACAGATTTAGTTTCTTGCTTTTTCTGGTTGACAAGCTTGGCCTTTCTCGACAGATTTGTAAACCTCTGTTTCAGTTTTTGTCTGTACGCCGTGTCTTTCTGGCTCTGTTCGTTATTGTCCTGCACTTCTACCGTTTCCTCATACACTACAACATCATTATCAACATCAACATCTTTGGCAGTTGCTGCCTGACCTGGTCTCGACGGCCGAATTTTGTTATAGATAGATTGCATCTGAAAAGACGTAAAAAACCAATATTCAGAATCCAATTCAATAAAAATGCACACATACAAATTAGAAGCAGAATATTACAGTAAGGAACAATATTCTCTCGCCATGTGGTAACAGGAGAAACATATGGATACACTATTCTGGCCGAAAGGGTTGACGGCAAAAGAGGAAGAGGCCGACAAAGATAAATGGTGGATTGTCTAAGACCATTTTATAAAGGAATCAGAATGAACTAGACCACAAAAGGCCTAGGTGGGTGGATATATAATTTGTTTTTCTTGTTCTTCTTGTTCTTCGTGTTCTTCTTCGTCTTCTTCTTCTTCTTCTTTTTCTTCTTCTTGTTTTTCTTCTTCTTCTTCTTCTTCTTCTTCTTCTTCTTCTTCTTCTTCTTCTTCTTCTTCTTCTTCTTCTTCTTCTTCTTCTTCTTCTTCTTCTTCTTCTTCTTCTTCTTCTTCTTCTTCTTCTTCTTCTTCTTCTTCTTCTTCTTCTTCTTCTTCTTCTTCGTGTTCAATGGCTCCGGTGAAAATTGATGGTAGTTAATGTACTTCTTGATAAGACGTAGATCAGGAGAATATAATGGATTTCACCTTGGACATCCAAAAAGAACAACTAAGACACTTGGAAAGATGCGGGCGCCCGAAGACAACTCATCCCAGACATCAGAAGGAGACAGTCATTGTTTTTCTGCCATATTATGAGAAAAGGGAAAAAAGAACATGGTGTAACCACTGACAAGATCTGTGGAAGGAGGGATAGCGGAAGACAACGATAAAGGATTCTTGACAGTCTTGTTGCACGGCATGGAGGTGTTTCGGCACACGAGCTGCTACATGCTGCATGAGATCGCGGATTGTGGAGAGGTATGATCGTCCAGCAAGGCACGCATTGATGATGATCATGGATTTTGTGTGCTAGACATTGAGGTGTGAGTGGAAATGAGCAGGTTGATAGATTAGCGTTGGGTGGTGACCTACTTTGTGATAAAGTGGACACGCTGAGGTCTCTCTGCCATCAAGGAGAATCCATACACTGAAAGGCTAATTTAAAAAGGGGTAAGCAGAGGTACTGGGAGATATTTAGCAATGGCAAAGGGTGGAGGACATGAGTGGAGAGTTATCAGCATGTCGACTCTTCGCAGGCTGCCGACGAAGGGGACGGGGCACATGTGGGAATGTACTAAGTGCAGTGATGTCATTCTTGATTCCTTCATTCATGCTTATGCGTATCCTTAGCCGACTGTAAATTACAACAGAAAGTTTTGGTAGTTCGTCCACTTCTGGACTTTGGTCCACAAGGTGTGATGATGCTGACATAAAGCACTTCGATAATTTTCTGTAATTATTGAAACAGGTCAGCGGAACAAGTGTACAACGATGTATCCTTATAAACTCTCTTCTGTCTTTTATCTTCAATGAGGCATGGGCCTGTTTGTTTGGTTTTTGTGTCTATTGTTTTTACAGGATGAAGTAGCCAACTCCAAGCTTAACCCCACCCTTAGTCGCCTCTTACGACATGCTTGGTAGGGTGCAGTGTTAAAATTCTTTGCTTCTCGTGAGGGCCCTGGTTATACACGTGACATCCTTAGAATAGTCGTTTTCACTGTTGACCTTGACGTCCTTGACACATCGGTGGGTGCCTGGAAGATTGTTTGGATAGATAAGTGAATATATTAATGGGTCAGTGTATTTGATGGTTGCGTGGATGTATGAATGGGTGGGTTGGTGGATATATGAATCGATTTACCGGTTGGTGGATAGAAAAATGGATGTAGGGATGAATTATGAGTGGATGGTTGGATGAATGTTTCTATAGCAATCACCTACCCTAGCCTTACACATGAACCAGATCATGACCGCAATCATGGGTAGGTCCAGAAAGAGCAGCAAGGCGGCATGAATTCCCCCCTTCCAGTAGACCCCCTCAATAAAACTGGTCACCGTGATTGTTCCTGTGTTGATTGTTGTCACAATCATCACCAATAGCGTGCCAAGGCGACCAATGAAATCTCCGCTTCTTGATATCGACCCAGCACCTTGTTTCCTGTAGAGAGAAAAAAAAAAATATGTTCAGCATTATAATTATTAATACAGCAATAGAGACTGACAGAAATTGAAAGGAGGATGGCCAAAACAGTGGAACGATCTAACAGATGTAACAGTCAATGGTTAAGCACCAGCAAGGAAATCACAATAACAATTTTGAGAGTATGCATTTTTACTGCAGTAAAATACGGATGTGAGTTGTGGACTATCTCCCATCCTTTATGGAAGAAAATATGGACTTTTGAGTTGAAATGCTATAAAAAGATTCTTAGAATATCATAGACCAAAAAAAAAAAAAAAAAAGGGGGAGAAAGATAGACATTTTAAAAGATCTGAACATCAAGTAAGATTGGCTAATAAACAGCATCTTGTCTGGGTAACTGGAATATTAAGTTCATATCAAGCGCCATAACAGATTGAAAAAAAAATAATAGCAAAAGGCATGGTGCCAGCAAGCAGGCGCAGGGGACGACCAACAGGAAGATGGGTACAGGATATAAGTGGCTGCTTGAATATGAAAGTACACTAGGCGGGAGAGCTAGCGAAAGACCGAGTTTCTTTCAGGCAGAACGTGATGAGAGCGACGTTCTGCAAAGGACCTGCTACGTGATGATGATTATTAATATTATTATTATCAATATTATTATTATTATTAATATTTTATGATTATTTCGAACATGCAGGCTTGAGTTTAATTGAGTGCAGAATCGACATCACAAGACCCCGGTCATTCCTGTAAGGCAGTGGTTCTGAACCTGTAGGTCGCGACCCCTTGGGGATCGAAAGACCCTTTCACAGAGGTCGTCTAAGACCATCGTAAAATACATATTTACTGAAGTTATGAAGTAGCAATGAAAATAACTAACTGGTTGGGGGTCACCGCAACATGGGGAACTGTATTCAAGGGTCGGGGCATTAGGAAGTTTGAGAACCACTGAGGTCAGTGTTTCATCTCCAGCAGCCAGAGCAATTTGAATAGTAAGGGTGCCTGCCACTTGCAGTCTTACTATATGTACGTCATACATACCCATCACTGAGTGGAAAACATGTGTGACTTGGAAGAAGAAACTTAACCCAGCTTAAATTGCTATGGAAAAGTTTAACTAAAGAAAGGTTAGCGACGTGCACAAAAACAGCCGTACGTTTCGGTCAATTTCTCTACTAAGGAAATACAACAGAAATAATAAGCTAGCATGAGGACGATCTGCAATGTAGCAAACAATGGAAACTGACTGACTGACTTTCGACCCCACCAGGACATCACACAAGCGATAAACAGACGAGGACACAATGTGCCACCATGTGGATGAGGATCACCGTGGAGAGGTCGCAGTAACCGCGTTCAGCCATTAGACCATATTTATGGCCAGGCTATATTGCCGCCCCTGGCAAGAGCCAGAGAGGGGCTTCAAATAACTAAAAATGTAATCCTAAGTAGAAATGGGAAGTAGAAATAGAAACTTAGAAAATATGAATAAAAGTGGAGACGGAAGGAACTGTTCTGTTGGTGTTTTCGTTTATTACATTGAAACAACAGTGTTAACAAAGTAGCATTCATAGACCTAAAAGTTAAAAACAGTGGTATCTCGACTAAGGAACTAAATTCATCCAGACTGTTGTTCATATCTTGAAAACCAGGTTCCCGTTAACTTATAGACAATCAAAATCCGTTTTCAGATTATACATTTTAAAAACACTGCGTCACTAGCAGCAGAAGGTTGAAGGTTTTTAATGTTTGATGTGTGTTCCCCCCCCCCCCCCCCCCCCCCCCCCCCCCCTTGAGATAGAATTGGAAATGAAACATCAGAACGAAGAAAGGATATAGAAATCGAGACTATAAGGTAAATTAGATATTGGAACAAGTATATCTTAGTCTAAGAAGAAATACTGTTTGGCTATGGTACCAGTGTAGAACCTGGACAGCTGCTAAAACTTATAAAGGCAAAAGAGATCTGTTACTTCTACGTTTATCTTCTCAAAATGACATAGTAAGTAAATATTATAAAACCGACGCACTAAAATAGTCATACTGAATTATAATGAAAATAAATCAGGCCAATAGTAATCTGGTTTCTCGCGCCTATACTGAAATGTATAGACTAATGATGAGAATACCCTGGGCAATTAAAACGAGTAAGGGAGACGTCTTGAAGATGTCACGAAGAGAACTGATTGTCCACATCACAAAAAGACAATCTACATTCTTTGGTCATGTCATGAGAAAGAAAGAACTGGAGTACATCGTGACAGTAAGGACAGGTAGAGGGGGAGGGGAGCGCAGAAGGAGACCGAGAGAAAAGATGCTGGTCAGTTTGACCTCATGGCATAGAAGACCATCTGTGTCAGAGTTGGTTAAATGTACACGACACAGACACACACACACACACACACACACACACACACACACACACTCACACACGCAATCATGCACAAACATGCACACACACACATAAGTAATCAGTAATTCCGCCTATTAAATAAACTTACACTTTTTTGACAATCACCGTCCTTTTGGAAGTTTTGTGCCCGACGCCATTTTCTTCTGTAGTTGCTGGTTTTCCAGGATCTGCTTTCTTTATGGGCGTCAGCTTTTTATCCTTATCGTTCATGTTAACATGGGATTCTCAGGTTTGGCTTGTACACGTGAAATTGGCCAGTCGTGATCGGGACACCTATTGCTACATAAGACAGAATGGTAGAAGGTGTTATGGAATTGTGTAGTAGTAGATGAAATAAGAAAACAATCGTCGAACTAAATGGTACCTGTGACGTCGGAATTTGGGTCTCACGTACCTAGCTCTTCCCCCCCCCCCCTCTTCCCCCTCACAGCATCATCACCATCATCACATTTTTGAAAAACGAATACAAATCGTCACGTTCAACCAGCTTCTTAAATTAAAGCGCTGTAGGTTATAACTGTGATTGTGTTTCTTGCGCCAACGGTTGTTAGCTAAAATTGGCTTCGTGTGACAGATGTAATGGTATTCGTATCTGTTTCCTTGTGACCTTTCCCGCTCGTCCAGGTCTGGACCTTGGTCCTGTTCCTAGTATTTGGTCACACCTCTTGCTGCTTGGCCATTACTGCATGTTTCTTTACTTTTCGATTGTACTTATTGTTCCCTTTTTTCTCCTGTCCTTGTTATGCGTTATTATTTGTAGTCCAAGTCCATTTGTTACTTCGTGCTCTAAGTTTGTTTATGGCACAAATGGAAATTGACAATGACGATATTTATACATTTCGTATTATTTTAAATATATTAAAGTTATTTGCCCTTCGGTCCATAGTAATATTCACAATAATAATAGTGATGCTAATAATAAAAGCAATAATAATAAATAGATCATTACGCACTTAAACATGGCTAACTGTAGCTATAGATAAATAAAATTAGACAATTTTGAGAACAGATGTCTTAGAAGAATACTAAATCTCCACTGAACAGATTTCAGGTCCAATAGGCAAATAAGACAAGAGAGCAAGTAAGAAAATGTATCAAATTTTATAAGAAAGCACCGCTGGAATTACATCAGCCATGCACACAGAATGGATAAGACAAGACTCCCCGATCAAGCTCTCATGTGGAAACCGAAAGGAAAAAGAAAACGGAGAAGACCAAGGGAGACTGCATAGAACCATCATCAGGGAAGACTCAACCATGGGCCTAAGGAACATCCAAAACCTAAAGCAGGTGGCAACGAACCGCCAGACATGGAGAGCTATGACCTCTGCCCTATGACATGGAGAGCTACGACCTCTGCCCTATGACATGGGGAGCTATGACCTCTGCCCTATGCGCGTCTTAGGCCCAAGAGGAAAGACTAACTAAACACGGTCTAAATCACCGAAAGCTCCCTCCAGTAGAAAATTAGGCTCTTTTCTTTTGATTCACATCCCATCTCGATGACTTCGAGATTTCGTGGTGAGTTTCCGGGAAATTCCAATAGTATAGTCATGTTGGGCTGCGAAATGAACACTGACTAAGCCTGACCCTATACCCTCTAACCCCCCCCCCCCCCCCCCCCCCCCCCCCCCCCCCCCCCCCCCCCACAAACACACACACACAGCTGTTTATAGTGGACTTTCTCTAAAACTAACCACGAAATCTCAACATGGTGTGAAAGAAAAGTATCGGAATTTATAATGGAGTGATGTTATTTCCCCCACCCCCCCTCCCTCCCCCCCACCTCCCCCCACCCCTCCCCCACCTCCTCCCCCACCTCCTCCCCCAACCCCCCACCCCCCCCCCCCCACCTTTTTTCAATTGATTTATTCCTGGTGACACCCTTGCAGTTAACGATATTCTGGGCGACTGGTTTCATACAGTGGTAGGATAATCGCTCCGTGGCAGTCGTGTGCCCCTCATCACATAATCTTCCCAGATACAGCAGTGTAAGTAAACCGCCGTGATGGAGCGGTTAGATGCTCGCCTGTGGATCCGAAGTTTGTGGGTTCAGTTCCTGACGCAGCCAAATTCTTGTTTCTTTCCCCCTAGGTAAAGTTGTGAGAAATAAAGACGACTGGCAGGATGGTGAGAACATCACCCACCGAATGCCGCTTGGTCTATAAAATACAGGTGCAAAAACAACAAGCTCTATAGGCCCGAAGACGTGGAAGAGTGTCCTTTGCCGTAATGGATCTTCTTCTTCTTCTCTTCCACCTTGTACCTCATCGAAGTCTCGGAGGAAATGTAATGTTCGATGATGAGCTCTGCCAAGAGCACTATTAAGACTGATGTTCATTTCTGAAAGGCTGTTCTTAGTGCTATCACTCCATATTTTCCGAGGTCTTCCACTCGCTCTATACCCGTTGTGCCGCAATGGATGCACCTGCCAATCTTCATTGTTGAGAATTAGGCGGAGTTATATGCCATATTCCTCGGTCAATCTTCGCAAACCGATTAGTGCTTTACCCAGCACAAAACTCCGTAGCTGTACCGACGGCCCCCGGGAGATCTACAGAATACATGCATTTGTGAATATAAGAGAGGAGGCTGAAACGAAGCTGACGACCATTATTCTGCGAGACAAAAAAGCTGAATCACTTTACTGTAGAGGCTTCCGTTAAAGTAATCGCACATTAGGGACTGCATACCAACGACATACTAGTACTAGTAACAAATACTTGAAGTGGTGGTGGTATTAGTAGTGTTGGTGATTGCTGTAGCAGTACATACACACACACATCTTTAGACAAAAGCGCGAGCGGGCACACGCACATACTAACAAACAGATGTATATATATATATATATATATATATGTGTGTGTGTGTGTGTGTGTGTGTGTGTGTGTGTGCGTGTAAAACTGTGTTTGAGGGCGTATGGATGTAATGATTTATCGATGACAGTATTTTAGTATTTTTTTCAAGTGTCCCTGATAAAATCAATTGTTATCTTATTGTTATATAATGAAGTAACATGATATAATAAAACACATAGGTCACTGTGTATATTATTATGCAACAAAGTCAGCAGGCGTTACACACACAGACGTCACAGGGTGATACACAGCGCAACCGTAACAACGCGTTATACATCAACGAAGAAACACAGAGTTGCACTACACAGAGTTCACCGGGTATTATACAAAAATGGCTTGTATCCACCTAAAGGTCTGCCTCTGCTTCTTTTACCGGAAAACTTACACAACCCCCCCCCCCTCCCCCCCCCCCATAAAAAAAATCAGCATTCTATCTGGGCCATCATGATATTTAACACAGCTAAAACATCCCTACTTTCAGGACAGGATGCTGTATATGAGTCAGTTTTCCTTGATGTTCTCATAAGATGTGCTTGGTCCAAAGCATTCTAAACATAAATTCTACAGCATTATTATAGTCATTATTATAAGCTGTCACGGAAAAGATGCATGATCTCAAAATGTTTACTTCAACCTGCTTATAGACGCTGTACCAAAAGTTCGTCATGCTGCCTAAACTCTGCATTGCTGAATCGTCATTGTTATTGACTGTGAGCACAAATGTTTCAAATCTGTGTCAATGTTTAATTACTTCGTTATCGATGGTAAAATGAGGTTGGTGCGCCATATTTATCGTCGGCAGTTTTATTTTTAAATTCAGAAAGAATTTGCCCTTCTTCGCTGTCTTTTTTGACAGAATTGATTTGTCCAAGCCCTGTACACTAATGGACAGAAAAACTATGTCGTCTGCATGTCTGGGAGCTAGATAGAAAAAGTTTGCCTCCACCTGTATGTGGCACGCAGTTTAAACAGGCTTCTTCACTAACTGTATACTCATAATAGTTTCAGCATATATATTAAAAAAGTGATGAAGTGAGAACACAGCCCTGTCTTACTCCTCGCTGCACCTCAAACCAGTCCGATTTTTCACCAGCTGCTCTGACTGCTGCTGGTTGTTTGTGGTAAAGTTATTTCATTAGTTGTACCAAATGTGTTGGAAATTCCACGCATCTCTATATATGCCACAGTTTTTATTTTTAAACGTAATCATAAGCTATGCTGCAGTCAATGAAGCATGAATGGAGTTCTATCTTGTAGTCTCTCGTTTCTCAGAGATGATTCTCATATTGAAAATGTGATCCCTTATTCCTCTACCGTGTCTAAAACCTTTTAGTGCTTCTTTTAATTTATATTGTTGTTTCCCCCACGTTTTCACGTTATAATGACAATGATAAAGATGGAATTTAATGTTGGCGGAAAGGGTGGGGGGGGGGGGGGGCTGTGCCGATCTACAAATATTAATGTCATCATTAATGTTGATGTCATTGAAGAAAATTAACATACTTTGATACACATGTACATTTATATGTAAAGAATAGATTAAATTGTCATCGTAACATATTATTTTATTAACTCACCGAAATGTGACACTAAATATCCACCTGTATGTTGCCTGATTACACTTGTATCCGTTCTCCATCCGGAAGGACATACGGGGAAATAAACCTGACTAACTTATGGACTCAATGAAGTAACAACGTCATCAAATGTTATAAGTTGGTTATACATGAATGTACATACTAGAGGTTTCTTTGGCTGGGCTTGTGAATGCACTTTCGCAGTCTCTACATAGTAGGGTTCGAAGTCAGCTTCCGGTGATATGAAAGCAAATACCGCTTTGTGTTGATTTTGCTAACGTTATGAGCGTCGTACCGTTGAGAAAGCAAAGGTAACGTTTTTTTTTTTTTCTTTTCTTTTTTTGTCCTAGTCTAACAACTTACCGCTATAACATGCTGTGGTTAATTTGGAAGGTGCTGAAGAAGACGTATTACTAAATTATTGCACGGACATTTATTTAGTTGGTGTTAACGGCTTTAAACTGTGGAACTATCTCCAGGTGCTAGTGAATAAACGGGTTTTTGAAAGTACATCCTTAGTATCCTAGAAGTTGGCGTGTGGACTATGATCTGTCTCAATACATAATGTATTTTTAGCACGACAAGAAACGCCTCCAGCAAGCAGACAAACTCGGGCAACGGCAGGCCAATATTTCTGTTGGGTATTCAAAACAAACCAGGTAACCAAGCGATTTCTTTTGTTTAAAAAAGTCGAACCGGATTATTGGAACTGTGTTCTGTTTCTGCTTATTGATTATTTGACAATAAAACGTCAATAAATGGCAATGACACAAGA